TGGAATGCCTCCGGTTTGAACACATGCCCGCTATCCACGAGATGACCGAGAACCGAGCTGCGAATGCACCTAACCCTTTCTTTCTAGATAGTCGGGGGACAGGGTTTAGCAATGCGTTTTTATAATCGTCTGTTCGTGCGCCAGGTGGTAGTGAGAATATATGGTTGACCTGCAGGGAACATTCTAAAAATGACTTTGGACAAACGTCCTTCGTGTAGTTCCAGCTTATCGTCACTCTTAAACGGAATCGTTCATGCAGGGAACGGTAGGGTCCCTGAAATTGAAATTCGCTAATTGACCCCCTGTTTTCGTGGAGTGAGCTGTGAAAGCGTCCGTTACAGTGTTTACTCGTTCAATTTAGAATTAGGTCGTTTTGTGTGTTTTTAATTTACATGGACAACAGCCCCGTCGTTCGACTTACGGGACTCACGGTTCGGGGGGACGAATAGGCAACCGTAGATCAGCTGCGGATCCTATTTTATCTTTGTGAGTCTTACGCAGCATAGGCTTGCTAGTGAAGGATACAGAAACGACTGGATAGCCGTGCGAAATCATCTTTCAAGAGCTTCGTTTGAATAGTTCGCTGCTCACACCGCTTTGAAATGCTATTGGTAAAATATATCTTTTCTTTTTGTTGACGTTGCTGCCGTGTCCTTCCCGATAAACCTTTCTGATTGACCATTGCTTTAAAGCGTTACTATCAAGTTCAGTACCTACTGTACCGTTAGAACAAATTCAATTGGCCTTAGATGCTAGGGATGATATGGGAGTCCTCTTTCAGTTGCTGGGGCTGAAGCTGAGCACTTTTGCAGACGAGATTATGATCAACATGACAATACATTTTTATTTACTCTTCTCTGCAGCTTGTCAGTTAGCAAATTAAAGTAGTTTGTTTCCCTTTTCGATTTATGTTGTTAAATAAATGGTGCTTTTGGGTTTGACCAAAGTATTAACATATTTGACTGAGTAATCAATTTTTGTTCGCAACAGAGAAGAATCTCAAAACAACAATACGGATCTGATGGAAATTGGTGCAGGATGCCTTGCAATTAGTTGCTTTCAGTTTGAAAACAAAGATACCTGCTATCAGCAGTTCAGTAGTGACCCTGTCGCTACGCCGTTTGTCTGACTGCAGATTGCTCCCGTGAATTGGACTTTGAGTGCGCGGGACTATCGTTGGGACTCCAATACCCTTTTGTCGATAAACTTGGATACACATAAGTCGCTAGTTCTTATTGTAGAACGTTCGTGAACAAAAACTGCATTTCCAATGCACCAATTACCACCGTTAACGTTTCGAATCAAACAGACGAACGCAAACGAGATGAAATGAGGTGTCACGCTGGTCACCGTTAAGTCAGAGAAGTACCATTTGCTTTGAGTTTTGCTAGCAGTATATATCTACCAAAGTTTTGACCACTTATCGGTACGTACACTGCGTTGACATCACAAGATAAATTCATGCATAAGAACCCAACAACCGGATAAAAGGAAACAGTTTCCTAATTCAAATAGCTCAGCAGGGATGTTAATTTAGACAGATTTGAAGGACTTGATACTCACAGTAGACAACTGTTTATTCTGTGCAGGATTCACGTGGTACTTAACCGGTTCACTGCATCACGAGAAACAAACAAATCCATCTCAGCTGTTTTTCAACCTTCGAATTCGAACAAGTATCTTCATCTGGATTGTGGTCACACACAAACACACGCAGGCCGACGTACCTGATTCACGTCACGAAATGCACGTCCACTTTTCCAACCCGATGAGGTTTGTTGTTCCGATTGTTGTTTCGGTTGTGGTTTCTGTCGCCCGTGTTCCGTCTCATCCCACTCCCAGACGATATTGGGTGGTGGATGTCCGGCAATCAGACAGCGCAATGTGAGCGAGTGATTGACCAACGCTATGGGCTCCCGAGGAGAATGATAGACTAGCCGCGGTCGGCGTGTTCCGATCCACTCACGATCGTCTCTGGGGGAGGATGGGTTGTACAGGACGTGAATATCTGGCCCGGTTTTGATTGTGCGCAAGATCGGATTGTTCACAGCGCACACGAATATTTGCGTCTTGACAAAAAACGGTTCAAGGAGGTATAGGTTTCCTGTGAAGATAAAAGAAGAAACGAAAAATGGGTTTCGGGTAAACTATCGGAATGTTGAGCAATGGAATAAAGTTCGGAAAGCGGAGGACGCTGTCAGTTATAGTGTATGTCATCATATTCCGGGGAATTCAGATCTCTATCCCTATCTCACAGCGCACATTTGTTCATCTGTCAAGATGGGAGTAATACAGTTTTGTGAGTTATCGACCTCGCTGCTAAAAACCTTAGGACACCAAAAAGTTTCTACGAAGGTGCTCGTGTATAATCAAACGCCGGGGTCAAATAACTCCACATTATCTATTTTTCTGAGGTTTGATCGTTTCACACCGAGTGAAGTGAAACCACCTGCCTAATATGGTGGAGGCGTTTCGACCCTTCTACTTAGTTCGCAGCCGTCGATCTATGAGGATTTGGAGCATATCACAGTTATCCGAACTGTATCTACATCGCATCGTTTGGAGGTGTTCGATTAACCGACTTCGAACTTGCAAAGGATTCTCATTCTCCTACATCTACCCAGTGAAATACGTCCAACACTGTCACTCCAATAGGAACTCGTCTGGAATAAATTTCACATATGGGAATAAAATATTCCGCGAAATGTGGCTGTGCGATCTCTCATTTAGACTTGAGTAAACATCTCTCCGTGATATGCTAAACTAACATAATCTGAATAAAATAACTTGATTGCAGATTTTATGCGATGCATTTCTGATGAATCGAGACAAAAACTGCCATGGCAGATTACCTGCATGCCAAATGGTGAATTACTCAAGTTTCGATGGATTGGGGTATTGATCCATTGTGAAAATATTAACGCTATTGGTGTAGTTAGTACTTCGTCCTTACTTTATTTCCCGGAGTGAGTTCGAATCTCATGGTAGCTACCAATCTTTCTACAATCCAAATAAAACCGTTCATTCAACCGCATGTTATGAGTGCGATTCAATGGATTACTGAATGGGTACTATCCGCATAAGATGAGCGATGCGGCCTGGGACAAACGCAAAACAATTTCCTGTTCAGAACCTTTGAGGTAGAATCGTACATCAACTGTGATAATACACATTGTGTCATATTGAATAGGTAGCATCTTTACATAAGTTCCAATCCCACAGGAGCACTGGGCTCTTTTACAATGGGATTAAAAATAATGTTTCTCCCAAAATCCACCAATCAAATATCAACTTCACTTTCAGATCACTGAACAACTGATTCATTTAGGTAAAAGCAACAATATGGTGCATCTCATTTTTCAGTCCCTTCTCGTAGACAGGGAAGAAGATCGCCCCCAGTGGTAACAATTATTCAGGATGACATGTGAAGTGAATCGTGCATTGTTGTCTGTCGGAAAATTGATCTACGGTTACGAGATTTCAGACGCACTGTTTGCGCCTGACCGACAGAGGTCGACTATTTGTGGTCTTCATTCATGGACTTCTATCCGTCGTGGTTTTTACCCGTTTTCCAGTCTGGCGGTGAAGATATCATTCGAAAAGTGTGCGTCGCAGGGAAGAACAATTTTTTTAATGAATAAGTTAACAATAGAATTCTAATGTTTGTCACCCGAATGGTAGAAATGTTTAATTTTATTTGAGGGATAGAATGAGTTTCTATTGTTGGACAAGTCTGTAGAACTGCATTTCATCAATAGCCTAATCCTGCAGCAAACGACCAGAAAAATGGGCACCCAAACATGTTCCTTATGTTTAACATACATTTATGAAAACTCGTAGTTCGCTAGGTTAGGAGAGATCTTGGATCATAGTTCATCTCATACCCGACATTGTCCAAAGCCAGGTTTCACGAAAACCAATCAAAGAACGTTGCATATCACCAAAACTCTATTGGTGGGTGGTGAGCGGTAAATTAGACATCTTCGACTTCATTAACTGGTTCCCACTTGCACGAAATGAAAATCAGCAAGGCCGATTTAACTGAATCCCGTGACTGTCGCCGTACAATTTGTTTACTATAAATTATGTTATAATCATTTTTATTCACGTTCGATTTCTGTCTGAATTGCATGGTGAATTTCGTTGTGTAAAGAGAAAATAAAGTGTGAACTGGAAAGCTGGGAAGCGCTGAACAGCTATTCCTACTCCATCGATCCAACTGGTGAACTTGAACTCGGAACTTCGCAGGTAGAACGCATACATACCACCCACTCAACTACCGGGCAACTGATCAGACTGTTTCTCGTTTTAAATATATATACCATAGTTGCGGTTGATAAACGTTAGCAGATTTTCGATTTTATCGTCAGGTCGATCAGGCACTAAACAGTTTTTGTCTATTTATCTCGTTCACTTTGATAAGTAAACAAACAGCATAATTTTAAGCTGTTGGGATCCAACGAAAATCGGAATTTGTGTTTTTGGAAAAATACTTGGCCTCATGTGTATTCGCTGCGTATGTAACAACAGATCATTAAATACATTCTTTCAGTGGTTCCACTGATAAGCTTCATTTAATTTCTAAATCTGCTCAATATCAATCACGCATAAAAAAATGTTCGGCCCTTGGGTTTTTGTGCACATCATCATCACGACTGGGGAGAACGAATGCGGAAGCCTGAAACGAGACTTATCCACAAACACTCTAAACACATCGCACATTCAAAACAATTCCAGCAAATTAAAAAGGCCAGTTCAATATTCTCAATAACTAAACCAATATTTACAGGTGATGATTTTTTCTAATGGATAACGGAACAGATTCACGTAGAATAGCATTAGTTATTTGTTAGACCGACTGGTAGTGATCATCTCATCGAAAAACCATGACAGAAACTGGGTTTCATTTAGTAGAAACGGAATTCAGTGATCAACCTCTGTAAATATTGGTAAAAGTCTGTCTGACCAACCAATCCAACTTGTATATTTTGGTGCAGACTGAATATATCACAATTTACCCCCGATAAATCTCCCCATCTACTCTATTTCGCAGCCAGTCACATTGTCCCAATCTATACAAATACACACACACACACACAAGTACCCGGATGCACCGGTTAAACTGCTTCCGGATAAATTCAAAAACCGTTTGTAACCATGGTTTGATAACATAAATGTATGGAACACCAAAATAAAATGGCATAGATCAATGCACTGATTTCAACTGCGGATACGACGATGACCGCCCAGTTCTTTTTTATCCAATACACTGACAAATACAGCAGTTTGGGGGGGGTCGCATACCGGTTTCGTTAGCATCGAGCATGAAGCATGGAGGAGGGCGGGTTAACTAGCAAAAAGGCTCCGTTGGCTAAACCCAGACTGGTTGTTTCAATTCAAGAAAATACATTATCACTTCCAACATATATATATATATATATATATAATATGTACAATACCATATACCATTGTCAAGCTTGGCGAACAACCGACCATCAAGTTATACTACCCGAGCTACAAAAACAATAACCTATAAAAAAATTTCCACTTGTATAAGCAACAGCACTTATACTGAAGTAAATATTTTTCCAAATAATAATAAGCAAGTCTTGGTCAGTATTTGTGGCATTGATTTTCGTGATTCATTTATACTCAGCAGATGTATTGGTTCATAATATAGTGGATACTCCCATTTCGTCATTGGTGATTGACCCAGACCATGATGAATTATGAGCTAACTAAAGAGAATAAAACAATTTATTTCACGATAAATTAACTTTGATAATAATCAAGATGTAAACTGTGTGCACACTAATAGTCGATTGGTCTGTCTGTGTTCTTTAGGATTTTTTCGAGTTTCTTCGGCATTGAACCCACCAAATGTTTTATGAATTCGTTTTCTATTTCGTGTTTCAAGGCCCGTCGCACACCATGCATTCGTTGGAGAAATTACATGCGTATATATGCATATACATTCAGTATCTATATTTATCTATATTCGTCACAAAAACCATTGCATAGACAGTTCTTCCAGAGCCAGTTCATTGGAGAATCAATGCTATGATTCTATGTTTTGCAAGTAGGTTAGATGCTACTACACGCAACAAACGTGACCCGATGGTCGTGTATTTCCAGGAAAATTTTGTCCACTCAGTCACATACTACTAGTTGTATTATATATATATATATATATACTTTAGTTCTATCCGCAATGCCATTGAAAACAACCAGTCACCTACAGCATCTTCCTTTGTTCGTCAGCTTCGTCGCACAGGTTCTTATCGATGTTGCATCATCTATCATCCTCGACGCATCTCTCCACAGCCTGATTACATTTGCTATACTCATAGTTCAAAGATTAAGACGTGTGATAACAAGAATAACTCACAGTTATATATAATCATACAAATAATGATCACATTATACCAGGTGCTCCATGGGGGAAGATGTTGAGGTAGGTGCAGCATTGAAAACCCATTGTGCTTCCGAGTGTTTGGAAGAACCGGACGGTAAAGTTTGAAGTCCGATGGTCAGTTGACATCAGTATCTATTGTCCTGCACCACTACTCACAAGTTACTGTGGGTTAAATGTGAATATATATGTGGGTGTACCTGTGTTTGTGTGTGTGGGGATCCGAAAACATGTTTTCGTCTGTCAGTGGCCCACACGTGTCCATTCAACCGCGGCTTATGCGTATTGAATCACTTTGTCCTCCATTCCTAAGCAAACCAACCGATAACGGTCACTAATGGGATCCATTTAGGTTTGTGACGATATTGTCCTGATTCTGCTACCGCAGTCTGCTCCGTTCAATTCCGGTTCAGTTATTGTCTCCGTTCTGCTCAAACCTTAATTCTGGTTCCTACAAAAGCTGAACAACTTATATACTGATCGGAGTCCTATTTTATTTAATTTCGTTTTATTGAATATAAAATGAAACCATTTTCAGGTAGAAGGGGAGTTCGGTGAATCAGAGGGCTACTGTATAACACATAGAAAACCGGGAAAATCGGGCGGTTTGAACGATAAATTCATAACTTTGACCGCGTGACCATCACCCTGCATCATTGTTTAAACTCTGATTTTGTTCTCCGGGATAAAAA